AGAAAAAAAAACAAAAGCAATACCTAATGAATATCTCAAGTGGATTCCAGTGAAAAAATACAGATGAACTAGAGAAAATGGTCAAATACACTGGGAAAATTGTACATAAAGCACAAAAGCCATGACGCAATATAAAATTAATATTCCTCAGCTAAAATACAGCTAAGATTAGATTAGGATCCTTGCAATTTACCACAAAAGTATTCCTTTTTCTGTGTTTTAGTTCAGTGTAGGAGACAGTAATAAGCAATAAGTAAAATGAATGAAGAAAATCAAACCCCGTCGACCGCTGGGACTAAGAAGAGGAAAACGTGTGCGGGAGAGCTCTACAAGTAAGCAAACTTGGAGCGAGAAAAAAATAAATGTAGTCCTTGAAATGCTTTTAACACAAATTACAAACAACATTTAATTGGGTCGAGTGGTGGGGTTTTCTACTCGGTGTGCAGAGCTTAACTTTGCTGACCGAAAGCGGTTACTTTGCTGCCATTCGCCTCTTATTTCTGTCCTTTCTGACTATACTATACTTTTTTTAAATACATATTCCGTGGGAGACTAAACCGAGTTTATCTCTTCTTCAACCGTTTCAACCATTTATTCCACTTTTCTCGTATTTTCCGCCACCTGCAAATTTCCTTTTGATGAAAGTTGTCAGAGCAACAAAACGGAAATTTAATTACGTGAAAATTGTTTAATTAAAGTCACTTTCGCTTGGCAAACACAGCCCCCCTTTTCAACGCTTTTTTCCAACCATTCTCCTATAATTATCTAGCTTCTTCATTATCTACTTCAGCTCGTGGCATTGAAAAATCTTGGCAGGGGTTTTAAGTAAAGAAATTGAAGTTACTTTCCAGTTAGATTTTCAATTACTAAATGATTAGATTAGATTTAGATTTTCGTTACTAAATGGATACTATTTATGTAAACGTTTTTGTGGAAAGGGAATATTATTTTAAGAGCATTTAAAAGTGAAATTAAATTCCTTCCTCGCTCAACCATAAATTTCTTTGAAATATTATATGTTAGTTTAGCCCATATTTTTCAGATTTAAATTCCATGCTAAACATGCCAAAAATCTTTTTGTTTCGTGTGTGAAACAGACAGATGAAGAGGTTTGAATTAGGGGGCGACGTGTGGAGCCCAGGCGCTTGAAAACTGAACGACAAAAACGAGCGCAAAGGCAAACAGAACAAGAAAGGAAGCTAGCTTCGGCAAGCCGAAGCTTATATACCCTTGCAGTCATCAAATATGTCGAACAAAACGCATAAAGGCTAGACAACATCGAATCTAAGACGATTTTTCTATTCATTTTCCATATTTTTGACTATAGATCATATGGGAGCTATACGATATAGGGGTCCGATTTTGATCAAATTTAATTCGTAATTCAAGAGTCGTAAGAAAACTCTATATTCCAAAAATCATACTTGTCTGATGAAAAACAACGATGTTATAATTTTATTTCCATTATTTCTATAAAGATTTTTCGATCTTTCCTATGGCAGCTATAAGATATAGATGACCGATTTTTATGAAACTTTTTTTCCAATATAAACGTTGTTAAAAAACTTGATATTCAAAAAATCATGCTCGTGGGATAAAAAACAACGATGTTATCAATTTATTTCCATTAATTCTATATATCATTTTCGTTCTCTCCTATGGCAGCTATATGATAGAGTTATCCGATTTTGATCAAATTTAATCCGAAATTCAATAACAGTTAGAAAACGCCATCTTGAAGAATTCAAGTCGATCTGATCAAAAACAACGGCGTGAGAATTTTTTATTTCATTCTCTCATATGGGAGCTATCCGATATAGTCGGCCGATCCGGCTCGTTCCGACTTATATACTGCGTGCAATAACTACACACCTTTTGGGAAAGTTTCATCAAGATAGCTTCAAAACTGAGAGACTAGTTTGCGCGGAAACGGACAGACGGACAGACGGACAGACGGACAGACGGACAGACGTACATGCATATTTGGATTCTGATCGTGATGCTGATCAAGAATATATATACTTTATGGGGTCTGAGGTGTCTCCTTCACTGCGTTGCAAACTTCTGACTGAAATTATAATACCCTTTTGCTCTGCAAGGGTATAAAAAGCGAACCAGCGAGGAATAATCATCACTTCTAGAATTTCAATGAGGGTGTGAGGGAGTGGGTGGCGTCAGTGGGTGGGAGTGGGCGGTGGTGGGGGTGGCACTCGGGTTGCGTGGGCGGCTAAAACTATTGTCCAAGCTGTTGTTGTGACGCAGTTGTGTTGCCGTAGTTTTTATCGTTGTTGCTTCGCTTTTTTGTTGTTTTTATTTTTTGTTGTTATGTAGCAACAGCAACAGTTTCGGTCTTGCTTTTTTATCCCCTGCCATGTTTTACTTAATTTTCTTTTTGTTCCCCGATTCGGTTTGTTTTGTCAAGCGTAGTTTTGTGTTCTGCCATGCTTTTTTTTTTTGGTGATAGTAACAAAGGCAACCTGTGGCATTGGGAGGAAAAATAAAAATATATACGTGTATATGTATATGAAAAGCGAGGCAAGCGAAAAGGGAAAACTAGCCATAATGAAATATATTCCGTAATTGGACTTTTGCCAAACCGACCCGAACCTCTTTATCCGAACTCCCTGCACCACTCCCCACATCGAATGACGTAGCTTACTAATCAAACAAAAGCTGAAAACTAGGAAGGTACACTGCGAAATGCCAATCTAAATCGTTCTAATTTAACCTAATAAATTTAACACCATTTAATATGACGGTTTAACGGATGCATGTTCTTAACCAATAATCAGAATATAAGTGCTCTCGAATAATGTTGTGTTTATACAGAAATCCCCGAATTTTCTCTATGTGTTGAAGCTGGCCTAAGCCTGTTTTTGAGCCTAGGCGATATTTAATACGCCTGCCGTGCACTCAAAACTCCAGATAACAACAAAGCACAAAGGGAGGGCATAATTAAATAAACAAATTCCCAAACTAGGCAACAGGGGAGGCAAACAAAGTGCAAAACTCAAGAGTCGCCGCAAGAGTCAAGTGAGAATGTGAAAGCGAGGGGCAAAGAGGGCGGCAAGAGGCGTGGCCCTTCTCCTGTAACTGAGAATTACTCAGCAGACTAAAACAAAGAGCCAGTCAGCACCAGCATAGATAACTGTAACAAAGGGAAACCCGAAAATGGCAAAACCAGAACAAAGGTAACAGAGAGGTGCACAGAAAGAAAAGGATTTACCACAATTAATTTTATTTATAAGATGTCTACTGTTTTTTCGCATATCTGGATTTAAATAATTGAATAAAAAACATTTCTAACCAACAAATATTTTGATTCAACTTATTAAACATTTCCATGTTTGCTAAAGTATTTTGAACACTTTCATTTTTGTGTGACAAAAAAAATGGATTAAAACAATAGGTGAAGATACAGGAGAACTCTGTGTCCTTCAGATAATCTTCGGAAAATGGTTTGCATTTGATGAAAAACGAGCAAATGCCAAGCGGAACAGTTGTAGCTGCAATTGACCACAAGAATTCGTCATTAAATGGACGCAGCTGGAAAAACGAGAGGGAAAACTGGGGAAAATTGTGTGGTTAAACGGAATGGAAGGCTGTGGGCCCAAGGAGGAGGTGAACTGGGATGTGAAACTGACTGCTTAATTGCTATTTTGGTTTCGTTTCATGTGCTAATTGTGCACATGCTATGCAAATTTGTTGCTCCCTTGGCCTTCTCGTCGCCTCCAAAAAAACTCACAAAAATGTTTACACCAAGTGAAATATCACGATGTGGCTGACAGTGAAATAACTCAATTTCGTATTTATGAATAATTTGGCATTTGCAAAGATAAAAGCCACAAGTTAATTAACATGAAAGGCAAATCAATTTCGGAGTTTATTATCCTGAAAATGTAATTTTAATTTGCTTGTCTTTTTTGTGTCTAAGACAAGCCATTTTTAAATATTCATGCATTAATTAAAATTCCGAAAGCATAGATATGGTTCTTTTTAAGCAGAAAAATAGACCTTGCTGTTATAAAATTAAAGGGTTTTTGACGGCATGTACGAAAAAATTTCGACAGTGCCGCCAGTTGCAATATATTTTTTCAATACAGCATTCGATTTTTCCCCTGGCATTTTGAAAACAAAATTTCTTTTTACGACCAAAATGCATGAAAACAATTTGCGAAAAAAGCTAAGAAAAACCACACAGAGCAACTGCAAATTGAGTGCCAAAAAGAGGGATGCGGGTGGAAAAATGGCGACTGAGAGATGACTAAGACAAGGAAAATTGAAGAAGGAAAGGCGGGGAAAAATGGAGGCAGACTGGATAAAAACGAGCTGATGTCCCACATATAATAATGCATTACGGCTCGTCGTTATAATCCACGAAAATGCGAGCAAAATAAATAAAGTGGCAGCAACAAAACTACAAAGAAGTGGGCGGCGGTGGGCGGAAAATTGGGTGGCGGGGGATGGGCGGACAAGCGAGTGGCAGACAAAGGCCGAAGGGTCGTCTTGGATTACGCTACTCCACTACGAAAGTGCGCGTGTGTGGCTACAGTAAATATTGCCTTAGGCACATCCAATATTCATGAACTTCTCGCGAACTCAACAAACTACATATAGTAGTTCCACTTACAGATTGCTCTAGTTTTATAACAACGAAATAATTTTTATTGCCTACATAACACATAAAAGTATAAAAATATGACTGCTTGATTAGTGGTTTCTGTATTCGGAAGTTTTTACTTCTGATGAAAACATAGAAATTTCTGACATTAACATCCTTGACATTGACATTGAATATTGTTGTAAGGTATGCCACATTGAAATAGGATTACATTTGGCGAATATATGACCTACAGAAGTGCAGGTTAGGGCTCGTATAACTTCATTTTTCCCATAACCAATACTTTTTTAAGAAGTCAAAATAATTTCACCATGAGGATGTCTTATAACTGTAATCTTATTATAAATGCAATTTGTTAATAATGTGAAAATCAACTTACGGATAAAAGAAGAAGAGAAATGTGGTTAAAAGCAGCACAATCCAGGCGAAAGTCGCAGGAATGTAGCGCGTTTTCACATCGCATTTGGGCATTTTCCTATTTTACTATTTGATGGTTCGCCTTCTTGTTGTTGTTGTTTCAGTTGCTAAGTTGTTGTTGCAGTCTCTCTTTATTGCTAATTTGTTGTTGTTGCTCTTGGCCAATGTTGCAACGGTTTTGCTGTTGTTGTTGTTGCAATGTCGTTGACCGTTTTGTTTTTTCTTGGCAATGAAATGCGTTATGTTGTTGTCGTTGATGATGTTGGTTGTTTGTTTTTGTTGCCGCTTAATGACGTTTCTTGGCTTGGCTTTCTCTCTCTCTCTGTGTTTTTGAAGGGGGTGGCGGAGAGTGGCGCGGGGGGTGGGGCAGAGAGAGAGGGGGCGGGAAACAAGCGAGACGAAGCGGCGACGCGTGAAACGGGATCGGCGACGGCGGCGTCGACGGCAACAGAGGCAGCGACGCCGGCAGCGCGGCTTTCAGATTCGCGGGAAACGGAAATTCGGGAAAATCGGGGAAAATTCAGCTTCGACTTTTCAAAGTTGTGGCTTTTGAAGCGGCTGCTGTTTTGAGAAATTAAAGAACATAGAAGAATTAGGCCCACATGTACAAAATAAATGTCACTTCAATATCACACAAAAAAAAAAGATTCACATTTTCCATTTCTTAAGACAACACCACCACCTAAAAACCCAAAACAAATTTTTGTTTAAATTGTATATGCTATTTTAAACCCAAAAAACGCTACCAATAATTTAATTTAATTAATTGGTTTTTACGTACAGAAACACATGGCAATACGTACTAGCGATGATAATTCAATTAAAAGATTTGTTTTTAAAAAATCTATGTTAGAATTTTCTTTTATAAATAAAATCATTTTTGTTTGTACCATATCAGCTATTTTAATAGAACTATTGGCTTTATTTATTCGAACTTTACCAAAAGTTACTTAACTTGATTTTTAAAATTTCTAAATTTAACACCCGCTTTTGATGTTTACTTTAGTTTAAATTCCATCCATTTGAGTTGTTTACTTTGTTTTAAATTTCTATAATTTATTCCAATTTGTTTGCGTTTCTCTCTCTTTCGGTCTTTTGGGCGAGAGAGCGATTCTTGTTTTCCGTTTTTCGCAAAAATCCTCTCGATCTGCTAGCCTATTTGCAGTAGTATAAGTCTAGATATTAGCACATGCAAACCGTTATGATTTTTATATCCACCCAAAAAAAAAAAGATCGTTAACATTCCCCTGTTTTTCATACAATTTTCATTTTCATGTGCGTTTTTCGTTAGGCTTTTTCGTTTTTCCCCACCTTTCTTCGTTCTCTTTTCCGCTGCTTCTTCCTCTGCCTTCTATCGCCCTCTCACTCGCTCTCTTTGCTTTTCACATATACCAACACACACACTCACACACACACGCACGCACGTTGTTGCTGCAACGTTTTTTTTTGTTTTTTATTTCGGCGTCGCCTGCAATTTCATTTTTTATTCTCACTCTCACTCGCACACACGGCACACTGTGGACATATAACTTGGCACTTTTCCGGTTTTGTGCGATTTTTCATTATTTTAATCGGCGGCAGGGCGTTCGGATTACGAAAAAATAAATAAAAAAAAAGCGGAGCGTACGCATAATTTCGTCGGGTCGGTAGCAGACAGTGTGGCCAGATGATGGATTGACCTCGCCGTCTATTGCTTCCTACCGTGAATTTGCTAAAATACTGAAATGTTCTATACCCTAAAATTGCCAAAAAAACGTTGGTTGGAACCTTGGATAGGCCTTTTTTCCATTGAATTTCAATGATTTTTGGCTGTTCTTTAACGGTTTTCCGAAAATAAATGTCAAATTATTCGGAAATTTATTTTTTGCAATTTTTGAAAGAGGTGCCTTATACCAAGTCAAAAAAAAAATGAATTTCTGAAAATTAGAAATCCTGTTAAGCGGCATCTAGCAAGCTAAGAAACCTTAAAAAAAACGTTTCCCTTTGATATACACTTTTCTATTAAGGTTATTTTAAAAAAGTAATGAAAAGGTTTAAAAAAATTTGTGGTGAAATAATTGCAACTTAATAACTTGTGTTAGAAAATATTATTTTTAAACATTTAATGTGAGCGGTCAATACTCTAAACTAAAAGTAACGGTCCTACTGTCTCCTTATCGATAGCGTGAGGCGTTTTTATCGGCTGTTCGATAGCACGAGACAAATCACATCACGCCTCAGAATATCGATTGTAAATTATTTTGTTGTAATATTCATTAGCAATTTTTGGCTTTAACTATTTACTGAACCAAATCGAGGCTGCAACACACTTGCATCAACAGTTCGCGGCATTAATTATCGCGTAAAAGACTAGGAGATTGGAGACCAATCGGACACCACTTGGAAACCGTGGAAAACTCTTAGCGGCTTTTCGCGAGACGCCGACTTAGGAAGAAGGAAAAGCGCGGAGAGCGGGGAGAGTAGTGAAAGGAACAGCAGCGCCAACGATCTACAAACATGTCGCGCAGCGTGCGGGCGGAAACACGGAGTCGTGCGAAGGATGACATCAAGCGGGTGATGCAGGCAGTGGACAAGGTACGCCACTGGGAAAAGAAGTGGGTGACCATTAGCGACACTACCATGAAGATCTACAAATGGGTGCCCATTGCCTCCGCCAGCGAGAAGAAGTCCAAGCTGGAGGCATCCCCTGGGTCAGCAGCCAACCGGCGACCGCCCACAATCAGTTCGGGGTCGCGCCTGTCGGCGGCAGCAAGAGCGACAAGGAGAACTCCCAGAAGGGCACGCCCACGCCGCCCCAAATCACGCCCAGCTACCAGGGACTCACCGCCGAGGACTCCAACACCTGTAAGAATGATGTCGGCACCCTTGGCGGTCGCCCATTCGCAGTTTTTATACGAAGAATTGGTCAAAGACCAAACATGTTTTCGAAACTATTAAATATAGGGTTCCCATTTCATAGAATTGGTCCAGATTCCTTAATTTGTATAATTTGGAATAGCTAGTCATAGTTGATCCTAAGCCTTAGGTAGAACTTTGTGACAGCCATTTATCAAAAATGCAGATATTGTGAATTATGCATAGTTTTTGTTCGATTATGGAGTCTTCATCATTTTGTGCCTTAAAAGACCTATGTAGATTCAGAAATAACGTTTGAATAAAATAATTCAAAGGACTCCTAGGATTACTAACTTCAATTTACGCTACACCGTTTTTTAAGTTTTTTTACGACTCCATTTGTATACATATTTTTAAGATCAAATTACTCTGCTTATGCTCTTTGGGGTAACCCAAAGCGTTGTATCAAGAAGTAGTCGAATTTCGACACTAACATTTCTAAGGTTATAAGTTCTAGAAACCTGAACCACACTATTATTTATTGACACTTCTTCAGAAAAACCACTTGGCTAAGTATATTTTTAGGCCCTGTTCTGTGTTTATGTGTTTACTCTGTCTTATTCGTGTCAAATTTCTGATTTGCTGGCTAAAAAGTGTTATTGCAGAAGGGATCTGTTTATAATCATCTTTTTTTTTAACAAACTAAATAAACAAACTCTTACTGACCTTTTTTCCCGCAGGTTTCTCCGTCGTATCCGACAGCCAGGGTGCTGACTTTGTGTCGAGTATGCCCTTCTCCGAGGACTCGAACTCGCAGGGCAGCGATGGACCGGTGAAGCGGCTGAAGACGAGCGACTAGCCAAACATTCGCAGCCACAGCACCTACAGCAGCAGCAGCAACTAACTAAGAGCCCTAGTTAAGTTAGATAAGCACCGTCAGCCGGATATCGATAATAACAAGATCGCACTGATGAAGATGAAGATGAAGACGAAAACGAGAGTATCTGCCTCAGCCCAAGACTTAAGCAATTCTCCTGCTCTAGCAGATTAGGACCGGCAGCTGTGCCGCCACAAGCCTCATTATTCAATCATCATCTAAGCGGCGGCAGCTGCGGGTCGATAGGTCCATAGGTATAAGTTCAAAGGTAACCACTTATTTATTAGCACAGCATTCAAATCAGTTCTGAACGAACCTGAAAAGGATTTGTAGTGTTGTGTCAGAGATTTAAGAAAAAGCAGCCAGTCTGAGTGTTTGTAAATCATGTAAAGTTTTTAACTTTCACTTTCTATTCGATCTGACAAAATGTAGTAAATAAATAAGTGTACTAATTATAAAACATTTTTTTTTTAACACTTGTGTCAGGTTAGTTTAGAAATTTTTTTCCCCCACTAAATTGACTCGAAAACGATTTGACTTAATAGTTTTCCAAAAGTAGCTTGACCACGCCGATTTTAAAAGTTTTTCTACACATTCAGTGAATGTAACCGACTTGGTCGAAACTTTTAAAAACGAATGCTGGTAGATGCTAGTTTTGGAAAACATTTATGAAATCTAAACCGAACTAAAATAGAACCATCGATAGATACACAAAGATAATGCAAAGAATAGCACTTACCAATAGGAATCTGAAATTAATTAAGACAGCCCCATAATTCTTGATGAATGTATACTTAATTTTGACTTGTGTTTTTTACATTTTTTATGATTTTTCTTTATTGAATGTTTTAGTTTTCTTCATCTTACAATTTTCCCCCCGTATGTATAATAATAAAAAAAAGGTTTATTCTTTCAACAAATAGTTTTTCATTTCATTCGTAGTTTTACTCTTATTATGTTCTGGTTTTTCGTTATCCATTATGTAGCTTGACATTAAATATACAATTAACTTCACATATAGCGTTGTATATGGCCCGATTGGCGTATACAGCTTTAGTTTCTTTCATCTTTCACTAAAATTTATGCTAAAAACACGCTTAAATGAAGGGAAGCACAGATTTTGCACAGAGAACGAAAATGAAAAAAATGCACACACATTACGACTTTCGACGAGAAAGATAAATCATAAATCATAATACAATTCATAAATCGATGATATAATTAAAAAATAAAATATTTATATATATATATATATTGATGTGTAAAAAAACACGCGCGACAAGTTTCAACTACACACACAAAGAACAAAAAAAATAGAAAAGCAGGTTGGCTTGCGCGAGAACCAAAAAAAATTAGGGAGAATGGAAAAGCTTCGCTTTTCTTTGTTGCACATTGTGGATGGGGGGAGGGGGGTTGTTTGTAAATTTTCATTTTTGGAATGTATTGCGAATTTCGAGTCTCGAATAGCCAAACTTCTTCGGGATAATTAGCACTTTTCTGTGTCCTGTCTGTGTGTGTTTGAATAAATAATAAAATTAATTATCATAAATAGATATATATGTGTGGGAATGCTTGTTTTCCACCCTGGTTTTAGCACAAAAGTGTTATCTTTCGCTTGTTACATTTAGTTTTACACATATATATATTTTGTTGTATATTTTTTAGCTCGCTTTTTTTTGTTATTTTTTAGAAAAATATATAGAAATCCTAGCTGGGAACCCATTGTCCCTTAGTTGCCTTGTGTATACATATAGATATTTTGTTTTCCGATTTACATACATATATAGTTAATATTGTCATTTAGCTTTCAAAAAAATATACTTTTTGCCTTAATTTTGTTTCGTTTTTTTTTTATCGTTTTTGCTTGCTTTCTATACAATTCTCCTCTTTTGCGCAAAAGTATCTCGATTAGCAAAAAACATTAGATTCACACAAAAATAAAAAAAAACAGTAGGCTACAAAAAATTGGCTTTACAAAAATTGCTTTTTCGCTTCGCTCTTAGTGTTTTGTTTTTGTGTACATTTATAGTTTTGTTTTGTTTTTAGTGTTAATGTATTATTTAATAATAATTGCAACAGTTTATAGTTGGTTTTTTCTCTTGTTGTGGGGAGTTGCATATGTTTTTGTTTCGTTTCCTTTCGTTTTGTTTTTTTTGGATATGTTTATTGCCGTCCCCTCCCCCCGAGGACCTGATCCTCGGCTGCCTCCTTCTACTCCTCTCCTCCCAATCCCATCGTGTTGCTCCTCTTCTTGTGGGTGGTGTCTATGTGTGTGTGTGTGTGTGTGTGTGGTTATCTCGCCTCTTCCTCTTCGTCTTCTTCCTCTTTTTCTGTTTCTCTTTCTGGGGGCAAGGCTAGACCTTGGTGGTGACCTTGCCGGCGGTGGCTAGCTGCCAGGATTTGTGATGTTTACTACTAGAGCGTCCCTCTGCCAGCGGCTGATGTTGCTGCTGCTGCTGCTGTTGCTGCAGTTGGGGCGACCGATGTTGCTGATGTTGCTGGTGTTGCTGGTGTTGCAGTTGCAGTTGCTGCCGCCGTTGCTTCAGCATCGTTATGTGTTATGTCTGCAGCGGATAGCTGTTCTCCAATTGCTGTTGCTGCTGCTTCTGCTGCTGCTGACGTCGCTGCTGGCGGCAACTGGCGATGGCAACCGCTTGACGGGCTTGATATCAGCACTCGGACTTGTCCTCCTCCACCAGGAACTGCGTGTCCTTGCCGGTGTCCGCCGATGGGTCCAGCTCCCTGGTGCGCAGCTGCAGCTGCGGCGACGCCTTGTGCGTGATGCTGCTCGGCGCGATGATCGCCGAGGCGGGCTCCGTGAACGATCCGCCCGCGTGGTGGCCCATCGCCTTGCCCTTCGCCGACGGCTCCCCGGGCACATCGTAGATGCCTGGTGGATGAGCAAAACATTCCTGGATTAGCCACTACTCATATATAGTTCTTTAACATCCGTTATACGGAGTTATCAAAAGGACAAGCGGTAATTTATAATTAAACATTACAGCTTATTGCAATTATTAAAAGGATAAACAGTAATTATTAGCTTTGTATAATAAAAATAGATATACTATTATGAGTTTAGATTGTATTATACTTGTTTTATTAAAAGTGCTTTGAAAAACCAGACCAACTAAAAGGTTATAATGGTTGTTTATCTATATCTTTGAAATATGAAGATGTTTATGTACATATATGCATTTGAATATGATCTTGATTTACAGGTTGTATAAAATTGAAAGAAATTGTTAGATACTAATTTATGTTGTGAAATGAAATGATAAGTATTGTTTTTGTTAAGTATGCATGAATAGTTAATTGAATGTCTGTTAATTTGAATCTTCCGAGCACTTTTTTTCTAAGCACTTTGATACATTGTAAGACTTTGTTATTGTTCACTGTAAGATTTAAACACTAATCAACTCCAAAATAAACACTAAACAAACACATAAAATATTAAAAATAAGGGTGTTAGAATGTTGCTGTACCACATACTACTTATTTTTATGAATTTATAGATATATCTTAAATTATTTTGTAAAGACCGAGATATAGACTCACCGGAACCGTTGCCCATGCCCGGATCGGCGGTGGTGCCCGATTGCACCGCATCGTACATCGGATTCGCAAAGTCACGCGCCTTGTTCGCGTTCACCGTCTGCAGGTTGTATCCCTCGATGGGCGCCACATCGTTGGCTCCTGGGGCGGATGCGCCCGGGAAGCCGCTCTCGCTGAACTCCACGTTCGACCCGTGGCGGAAGGTCACGCTCTGCGACGAGGTCATCGCCGGCATGCGAGCCAGTTTGCCGCTGCAAAAAGGACAAAAAGGTTTTGAAATTGTATTTGGGATAGTAAAAGGGGAAACCGCTAATAATTCATTTCAAATTTTAAGTTACTTAAGTTTGTTCAAATTGTAACTCCAAAACTCTATTAATGTTGTTTTAAATCTAAAGAAATCGATTCTTGTAATATATTACTTGTTGGAGATAAAGAAATGTATGCTTTTAAGTTTTATAAACCAATTAGGATGAGGAGCTATTTTAACCTTTCGATTTAAAGACCTCCATCACTTGTTACTTCATTGACTTGTCTACTTACAAGGGTCGCTTCCGGATGACGTACCAGGCGCCGGCGGCGGCCATCATCACCAGCAGGATGACCATGATGGGCACCACGACGGCGGTGAGATTGGCGCCGCCGTGGCCGAAGGCGCCCGTCGTGCTCGTCTCGCAGTGGTCGCCGCGGAACTCGGAGAGGCACTCGCAGACGAGCTCCCCTTGGGCGTCCTCCTTGCACCAGCCGCCATTCTGGCATGGACATATCCGCGGGGCGGGACGCGGATGCTCCGCAGCAGCGTTGCAAATCACCTCGGCGGTGCTGCGATGCGAGGGCGGCGGACCAGAGGCATCGGGACAGGCGCACCGATGGCCGCCCGGGACGAGGAGGCAGAGGTGCGAGCAGGTGGAGTTGTCGCACGGATTGGGCAGCGAGGTGTTGTACCGCTTGTCGTGGTACACCTTCAGGCCGGACGGATTGATGAGGTTGCGATGCAGCACCACCTGCACGCCGCGCCCGAACTTGTCCAGGCGCACCAGTTCGCCGGAGTCGCGGGTCACCCAGAACATGTTCGACTCGAAGAGATCCAGGGACACCGGATGCCTCAGTTGGTCGCCCTTCACGATGGCCTTTCTCCTCGAACCATCGGCCCTCATGGACTCAATGGCATTCAGCTTGGTGTCCACCCAGTAGATGATGTGGTCCTGCGAGTAATCGATGGTCAGCCCAGCCGGATGTCGGATCATTTCGGTGATCAGCGGCCTTCGCTTCGAGCCGTCCATCCAGGAGACCTCGATCTTGGGCGCCGATCCCGCATCCGACCAGTAGATCCTGCCCAGCTGCGGATTCACCGCAATCGAGGTGGGCACCTCCAAGCCGGCATTCACAATCGAGCGACGATAGCGACCATCGGTCTTGGCCACCATGACGCGACCCCTGGGCTTCGAGCCCGTTCTATCCATTTCCGTCCAATAAAGATTTGAGGCCAGCCAATCCACAGCCACGGCGGTGGGTTTCGATCCACCCTTCATGTTCAGATCCTGGGCGAAGCCAATCTTGGCCCTGCCATCGATCGCATTCACCATGTAGGACCGCTTGATCGTCTTGTCGTAGCTGTCCGCCCAGAAGACAATCTGCTGCTGGGCATCGTAGTCCAGCGCCTCGATCCTCTTCTCCGCCGCGATCACGTCGAACTCCTCGCGCTTCTGCAGATCCAGACCTCTGATCTCCTGCCCATTGGCAAAGACGAGTATCACATCCTGTTTCTCGGCACGACAAACGCCACTGGCGCCGTCCGTCAGGTGGAATCCTTCGCGGCAGCTGCAGGAGTAGGTGCCATTCAGATTGTGGCACTGGTGCGAGCACGTGTGCTGTCTGGTCAGACACTCGTCCACATCGGAGCACTTCTTCTTGTTGTCGGCGGCGATTATGTAGCCGGGATAGCAGGTGCAGATGTAACCGCCATCGGTGAGATTGTGGCAGTGGTGCTGGCAGCCACCGCGGTTCTGTTCGGAGCAGCTGCTCGTGTGGTGGCAACCCAACTCGTCGCTGGCATCGCCGCAATCGTCGGAGAAGTCGCAAACCTGGGAGCGTTCGATGCAGTGCTTGTTGGCACACTGGTACTGCGTGTACAGATCGCAGGGCTTCTGCTTGCTGGCGCACAATGTCATGTTGTTCTCGTCACTTCCATCGCCACAGCTGTCCACGCCATCGCACACCTGATACCTGGCCACACACCTGTGGTTGGCGCACTGGAATCGCCGGAGAGTATCGCAGGTGAAGTCACTGCAGACACTCGGGTCCTCATCACTGCCATCGCCGCAATCGTCGGTGCCGTCGCACAGATCGGAGACGGAGACGCACAGGTTGTTGTTGCACTGGAACCGCGACTCCGGACAGTAGCGACCACCCGGGAATCTCGGTGGACAGCCCACCTCATCGGACATGTCCCGGCAATCACGATCGCCGTCGCAGCGGAAGTAGGAGGCGATGCAATGGCCGGAGGAGCACTGGAATGTGCCGTTCTTGCACTGGTAGCCCTCGCAGTGCATCTCGTCCGAGTTGTCGCCGCAGTCGTCCTCGTGGTCGCACTGCCAGCGGGAGGAGATGCACTTGCCGTTGTTGCAGCGGAACTCCGACTCGGAGCACTCCCTGTAGCGACCCTTACACACCGCCTCGTTCTCATCGCTCGCATCGCCGCAATCGTCCGCGAAGTCACACATCCATTGCCTGTGAATTACAATTGTTTTTATTTATAATTCCCAACTAGTTCAGTGGCGATACTCACTTGGGTATGCATCGGTTGTTGCCGCACTTGAAGTCCGTTTCGGGATTGCACTTGGGACAGTTCTCGGGCAGCTCGTCACTGTTGTCGCGACAGTCGTCCTTGCCATCGCAGAACAGCCACTTGGGTATGCAGCGGTAGTTGGACTGGCCGGGGCATCTCTGCCAGCCGGTGGTGCAGTTCCTCTGGCGGCACATGTACGCCGGCTCGTCCGAGTCGTCGCCACAATCGTTGTCGAAGTCGCACATCCACAGCTGCGGAATGCAGCGTCCGTTCTTGCAGGAGAACTCCGTCTTGGGATCGCAGGTGCGCTTGACTATAAACAAAAGAGGGTTTATCATTAATATTTGATTTAATTTCAATCGCATAATTTGAAAGTTTAATAATAAAAGTCAATAATCAGGCTAGCCATAATAAAATTTCGAAACTGCTTTTCATAGGTTTACCTATTTTTTGTGGGAAAATAAGAAAACTCTGATGTACTTACAGCACACGGCGGGATCTTCATCGCTGCCGTCCTTGCAGTCGGCGTCTCCGTCGCACCGCCAGCTGTCCAGGATGCACCTTCCGCTGGACTTGCACTTGAAATCGGAGAGCGGACAGGGCAGGTCGCAGTTCTGTTCGTCGCTGCGATCGCCGCAGTCGTCGACGCCATCGCAGATCGTCGCCGAGGGCGTGCAGTTGGTGTTCTTGCACTGGAACGTGCCGGCGCGGCAGTGGCGAGGGGCACAGGTGGCCGGCTCGTCGGAGCCGTCCTTGCAGTCCTTCTCGCCGTCGCACTTCCAGAACCACGGGATGCACTTCTCGTCGCGACCGCCGCACAGATGCTGGCCCGCCGTGCAGTTGGCCACGCAGGTCTTCATGTCGCGGGCCAAGTAGAACTGGTTGGGACAGGCGCACTTGTAGATCGGAGCTCCCTCCTCGATGTAGCCCTCGATGTTCAGGTAGGTGGACTCCGGCGGCGGGGCGATCAGGCAGAGATGCGAACAGCCGCCGTTGTTCGTGCCGCACGGATTCGTGTAGGGCAGCTGCCTCAGCGGATGGTTGATGTGCAGGTCGTAGGGACGATGGGTGGTGTTCCTCAGCACGGTGTAGTTGGCCCCATGGAACTTGTTCGCCCGCAGGATCGCCTTCAGGTTCCAGTCGCTCCAGTAGATGTAGTCGTCGAAGAGACTGAGGGCGAACACGTGCGGCACCTTGCTTCCGGACAGCACCGTGTGACGGTGTCTGCCCTCCAGATCGGCATAGGCTATGTAGTCCAAGTGGGCGTCTGCCCAGTAGATGCGGTCCGTGAAGTAATCGATGGACAGGGCATTCGGCCAGGCGATGCCGTCGTTCCAGTTCAGGATCCTCGAGAAATTCGAGCCATCCATGCCCATTTTGGCAATGTAGGCTTGCAGGTGCCACGAGGTGAAGTACAGGTAACCGATTCCGGGATGCACAACAATGGCACGCGGATCCACCACTCCACTGCGCAGGGTCTTTCGCTTGGTCCCATCCAACTCGGAGACATCGAGGTTCTTGGAGTGCCTGTCCAGCCAGTAGAGCTTGCGGCCCACCCAATCGATGGCGATGCCCTCCAGTCCGTGGGAATCGTGCCTGATGACCGCCTCCCTCTCCGGCGGCATTTCGTCGTCCGCCTCGCCATACTTCGCCCTGAAGATCGTCTTGGCCGTCACGTCGCAGAAGTACATGTACTCCTCGCGAATATCGAAGTCCAGAGCCACCACGTTCATCAGGTCCTGGTGCATCAGGTTGTACTGGTGTCCGTCCACCGACATATTCCGCACGTAGTACTTGTTGGTGAAGATCAACCACGGTGGAATCTTGTCCTTTCGCTTGCACGTGTGCTCGTCGTTCTGCCGTTCGTAGTAGGTCTCGTCGCACTTGCAGTAGAATCCGCCGGGGGTATTGGAGCAGTGCTGCGAACAGGCACCTGGCTGCTCCAAGCACTCGTCCACATCCGCACAGGCTTTGCCATCGGCAAGGAGTCTATTGATTTACCGGATTAATATGATGATCTCTTAGGGGATTTATGTATATAGCTTACTTGTAACCCTCGTTGCAGTCGCAGTAGTAACCAGTTAGCGTGTCCACGCACTTGTGACCGCACTGATTGATCTCCACCTTGGCGCACTCGTCCACGTTGCAGTGGGCGGGCTCATCGGACTCGTCGGCACAGTCGGGATACTTGTTGCACACCAGACTGTAGTCGATGCACTGGCCATTCGTGCAGGCGAACTGGCCGTGCGGACAGGTGATGTTCTCCTTGGCACAGCCCACCTCGTCCGAGTGGTCGCCGCAGTCGTCCTCGCCGTCGCACCGCGATTGGTTGCGGATGCACTTGAAGTTCTGGCAGGTGAACTCCGCCGTGGAGCAGGTCTTGTACTTTGAGTTGCAGAACTTGCCCTCGTCGGTGCCGTCGCCGCAGTCGTTGTCATGGTCGCAGATCCATCCCTGAAAAGGGAATTATTATCTTACTTATTCTACTTTTTGGTAAAAGAAAAGTGTGTTGTATTTACCTTATTGATGCAACGTCCGTTGCCGCAGGTGAACATATCCTCGCCGCAGGGCTGTTGGGTGGCACAGTTGTGCAGGGTGGTGTTCTCATCGGCCCCATCCACGCAGTCCGGATCTCCGTCGCAGATCCACTTCTTGGGAATGCACTGGGCACGCTGCCAGGACTTGTTCTCCACGCAGGTGAACTCCGTTTCCTCGTCACACTTGCGGTCATCTAAGCAAGACACAAATTTAGAAAAAAAAAAAATGCATAAAGGGGTTAATAAAAAAAAAAAAAAAAAAGAAGAAGGTGCTTTCAACTAGTAGAACTTGAACACTCACTGCACTGATGTCGGTTGTCCTCGTCGCTGTTGTCCAGGCAATCGTTGTCGCCGTCGCAGATGTAGATCCTCGGTATGCAGTTGCCGTTGTCGCAGGTGAAGAGGTCCCCGAAGCAGGTGCGTCCCTCCGACTTGCAGTAGTCTGGCGGCTCGTCGGCTCCATCGCCGCAGTCATCGTCGCCGTCGCAGTACCAGGTGGCGGGAATGCATCGGTGGTTCGGGCAGCGGAAGCTGTTCGTGGGACAGGTCCTCTGGCCGCAGTGCAGCGGATCCTCGTCGGAGTTGTCGCCGCAATCGTTGTCGCCGTCGCACAGCCAATAGGGCTCCACGCAGATGTTCGTCTTCTCGCACTTGAGATGGTTCGCCGGACACGTGGTGTTCATGGGGCACCGCTCGTGCGTCTCGTCCGAGGTGGCATTGTCCTTGCAGTCGTTCACTCCGTTGCACACCTGGGCCTGCGGAATGCAGCGTCCGTTGCCGCAGGTGAACTCACCATCCACGCAGGGCGGATAGGTGCAGCCAAGCTCATCGGAGCCGTCCTTGCAGTCGTTCTCGTGGTCGCACTTCCACGACTTGAAGATGCACCGGCCGTTGTTGCAGCGGAACTCGTTCGGCGAGCAGGAGTGGTAGGCGCAGTAGTTGGGATCCTCGTCCGAGTTGTCGCCGCAGTCGTCGTCGCCGTCGCAGCTCCACATCCGCGAAATGCACCGGCCGTTCTTGCAGTAGAACTTGCTCGCCTCGCAGGTGTTGTTCCTCGGGGCGCACATCCGGCCCTCGTTGACCACCTTGGTGTTGTCGTCGCACTTGCACTCCGCCTTGCCGTTCGGCGCCGGGTGGCAGCTCTGGGCGCATCCGCCGTTGTTGATCCGGCAGGGATTCACATTGCACTTCTGCCGATCGGCGCTGTAGATGCGAATGTCGCGCGGCGAGTCCTCCAGTCGCTTCACCATCTCCACCATATTGGCACCCGTGTGCTTCTCCGCCCGGTACACTCCCCTCAGCTGGAGGTCCGTCCAGTAGATGTAGTTCCTGAACACGGTTATCGCGAAGGGGTAAATGGTGGCCGCCACCAGGAGCTCCCTGTTCTGGCCATCCAGATCGGATCGCTCGATCTTCTCCCGCACCGCATCCGTCCAGTACAAACGCCTCTCGTCGTAGTCGATGGCCAAACCACTCGGCTGCGACAGATCCTTGTCCACGATGGCCCTCTTCAGCGATCCCGCCATCGTGGTGCGGAAGATCTTCCCGGAGGTTCCGAACCTGCCCCAGTCCGTGAAGAAGAGGGTACCGTTGCAGGGATCCAGGACAATGGCTCGCGGCCTCTCCACTCGCGCAATCATCACCAGCTCACTGCCGTCCAGATTCATCGCGTAGATCGAGTTGTTCGAGCTGTCCGTCCAGTAGATCTTCTGCTGGGTCCAGTCGTACGCGATTCCCTCGGGATTGATGCCCTTGTTCAGCACCACGGTGATGTCGTCGTGTCCCGGCTTGTTGGCCTTCGTGTAGGCAATCTTGGCCCACGGCCGAATCTGGGTGTACAGCATTCGGTTGTCGGCGAAGTCAAAGTCCAGACCCACGACATTCGTGAGATTCGTGAGCGGAGTGAACGGCACCTCCGTGGAATGGGGATCCAGATTCACAGCTCGAATCTCAGTGCGTGTGGCGAAGACCAGGTACTCGTTGACAACCTCGCACTTGCGTTCATCGGCGCCCAGTTTTCCGGTGGCGCACTCGCAGCGGAAGTTCCTGCCCGACGGACCGGTGGCCCCGCCCTCCGGTGGAAAACTGAAGCACAGCTGATCGCAGCCGCCATTGCCCAGGTGGGCACACGGATTCGTGTCGTCCTGCGGCTGGTTGTTGATGTTGTAGATGGCGATGTCGCGCAGCTTCTCCAGGTTGGTCCTCACCCGCGTCGCCGTCTCATTGGCACTGTGCTTGGAGGCCTTGAACACGGTCATCAGGTTCCTGTCCACCCAGTAGACATCGTTCAGATAGACAGCAATGCCCATCGGATTGGGCAGGTCCCTCCTGATCACCTTCCTATTCACACCGTTGTACGAGATCTTCTGGATGGTGTCCAACTTCGAGTCCACCCAGTAGATGTCATGGGTCTGCATGTCGATGGTGAGATCGCGCGGCAACGAAATACCCGACGTCACCAGGGGCGTCCACTTGCTGCCATCCAGTAGGGCCTTTCCAATCCTGGGATGCTGACCGTAGTCGATCCAGTAGAGCAGCCGCTTGATCGGATTCACTGCCAGTTCGCGGGGCGCGTCCGTGGTCGTCTTTACCAGCACCTTTCTGTTGCTGCCGTCCAGCCAGCAAACCTCCACGTAGTTCTCGTGCGGATACACGTTGGTGAAGTACATGTTCCCGGCCACCCAGTCGATGGTCAGTCCCCGGATGCCGTTGCTGCCGATGCCGTCCTTCACCACGTGCTGCAGGTCGGTGCCATTGGGTCGCGACCTGAAGATGCCGTTCCAGTAGCCCCGGTTGTACTCCGCCCAGTAGATCCACTGCTCGCGGTACATCACGTCCACGTGGAGGATGTGGTGGCCCGGTCCGCTCACCGGCACCATTGCCTCCGAGCTGTCGCTCAGGCTGTAGCCCCTGATCATGTCCAGCTGGGAGACCACGGCGAAGGTCTTGTACGCCACGCAGTTGATCTCGTTCTCCTTCTTGTAGCCGATGCCACAGGCACAGGTCCTGGTGGCCGCCACGCCGGGAATGCAGAGGTGCTTGCAGCCGCCGTTGTTCGTCTGGCAGGGATGCTGCATCAGGGCGCGCTTCTTGTAGATCATCATGGACCGCAGGTCGGACTCGTTGTCCACTATCGTCCGGGGATTGTCACCGTGCGGCAGATCGACCCTCACGATCCGCTCGTACAGGGGATCCAGGTAGTAGAGCCTGTGGTCCAGGATGCCCAGACTGCGCGGCTTGGCCATCGGGTGCGAGTCCTTCATGATGATCGTGGTGTGGTCCTCGCCGTTGTAGTCCATCGAACCGATCACCGCCGGATTGCTGGCACTGTAGTACAGCATCTTCTTCTCCGTGTCCACGGCCAGGGACTCGGGATGGGCGAAGTCCTTGAAGACCACTATCGGATTCTGTCCGTTCATGTCCACTCGCCCGATCTTCACCGGCACCTCGAGCACTCCCTCGTCGATCCAGAAGAGCTTGCCGTCGGTGGGATCCAGGACGATTTGCTTGGGTCGCGAAACCGAATTGGGATAGCCATCGTTGGCCAGGATGATGGTGCGATACTTCTGCTTGCCGTCCACCCGAACAGCCTCTATGTTGCTGGCCACTCGGTTGCCGATGTACAGATTCCTGCCCAGCCAGTCGAAAGCGATGGTGTAGGGAGCTCCCACAATTCCGTTCTCGATGCCCAGGAACAGCGTCTTGTTGCCTCCGCCGTAAGGGGTGGTGTAGATGGTGCAGTTCTCGTCGTCATCCTCCCTTCCCTGAACCCAGTAGAGGGTCTCGCCCTTCCGATCGAAGTCCAGTCCCGTGCTGCTCTCGATTCCAATGACCGGGGCCAAGGCTCCGGCTCTGGCGTCGCCTCCGTTCAGGGGGAGATCCACGATCTGCGTACCCTTGACGACCATGAGGAAGGGATTCTCCTCCTCGATGCAGCGACCCTCGCTCAGCAGCTTGAAGCCCGGCTTGCACTTGCAGGAGTAACCCTCCGAGGCACTGGGACTCAGGAGACACAGGTGCTGGCAACGAGCTCCGGCACAGGGATTCGGGGACATGGGTTGCAGGGAGGCGTGGTGCACGTGGATCGACAGTGGTTGACTGATCAGATGGGAAACCACCGTCTGGTTCTTGCCACGGAACTTGTTGGCCGAGAGAACGCGATTCAACTGCCTGTCCGTCCAGTACAAGGTGTCCTCGAACAGGGACAGCGAATGCGGATGCAGCAGATAGTGACTGCTGGCCAGGACCTGCTGCCTTCCGGTTCCGTTGTAGTAGCAGAAGTCAATGAAGTCCAGCTTCGAGTCGGCAAAGTAAACCCTCTTGGTGGCAATGTCCAAAGTCAGACCATTCGGCCAATAGATCTTCGTGTTGATGATGGTCTTCCGCATGGTGCCGTCCATGCCGATTCGCTCCACTCGCGGATTCTCTCCCCAGTCGGTCCAGAAAATCCACCTGGCACCGGGACTCGGATCGATGCACATGCCCCTCGGTTGCGTGATGTTCTCCCTGACCAAAACCAAGCGATTCGAGCCGTTCTCCGCCGAAACCTCAATCGTGTTCAGTTTGCTGTCCAGCCAGTAGAGATTCTGGGCAATCCAGTCGTAGGCCAGACCCTCCACCAAATCCAGGCCTGTGTTGATGATCTCCTGCGGCTCCATGCCCCGGTCCAATCGCGAGATCTTCTTCAGCTTCATGTCGCTCCAGAAAATGGTGCCGGTGTGCATGTTCGATGCGGTGGCCACCACATTCTCCACGATGATCGGCACCCGCTCCAATCCCTGTTCCTTGAGATCGGCGACGAGGATGGAGTGGCGGTTGGAGATGATCAGGAAGGCGGCGGTGTGGTTGACCGCCTTGCAGGTGTGCTTGTTCGGTTCCAGGGTGTAGCCGTCTGTGCAAGAGCAGAAGTACGAGCCCTTGGTGTTGGTGCACTGCTGCGAGCAAAGTCCGGGCGGATCGCACTCGTTCGTATCCTCGCAGGTGTAGCCATCCTTTCCGATCTCCGAACCGGGCGGACACACGCACAGAGCTCCGTTGGGCGTCTTCTGGCAGAAGCTGGAGCACTGACCCGCCTGGTGTTCGCACTCGGCCAAGTCGCAGCCCTCTCCCTCATCGGAGCCGTTGGGACAATCGGGAGTGTCGTCGCACACGGAGGTGATGTTCACACAGCGCTCCGAGACCCCGGGACATTGCCACTGACCGTGGGCGCACTTGAAGGGTGGCGGCACACAGGCGTGCTCGGCTCCCTCGTCTGAGTTGTCCCCGCAATCATCCTTGCCATCGCAAATGTACGCCTTGAACACGCAGTTTGTGTTGTTGCACTTGAAGAAGTTCTGGGCACAGGTGATCTGGCCACAGTCTTGTTCATCGGAATGGTCCGAGCAATCGTTGGACCCATCGCAATGCCAGGCAATCGGAATGCAGAAGCCGGTGGACTTGCAGCGGAACTGCTTCTCCGCATTGCACTGATTGGGGTCCATTGAGGGACATCCCAGTTCGTCGGAGCCATCGTTGCAGTCCGGAATGCCATCGCATTTGTACGACTCCTCGACACATTGCCTTAGGTCCGCGCACTTGAACTGATTCGCCAGGCAGGAGATCGGCGGACAGTCCTTTTCGTCCTGCTTATCGAAGCAGTCGTCGTCGCCATCGCAAACCCAACTCTGGGGAATGCAGTGACCCGTTCGCGGGCAGGTGAACTGGAAGTAGGCGCAGGTCTTTTCGGCACAGAAGTCACCCTCATCGCTGCTGTCGCCGCAATCGTTTTCGCTGTCGCACTTCCACATGTTGGGAATGCAGCGTCCATTGGCGCAGGCGAACTGGGAGGTGCCGCAGGTCACGTTGCCGCACTCCTGCTCATCGGAGTTGTCGCCACAGTCGTTTTCCTGATCGCAGCGGAAGTTCTGGGGAATGCAGCGACCCGAACGGCACTGGAACTCGTTCGATCCGCAGGTGGGTTCTGGAAATTAGAAAAAAAGAGTGGTTAACTAGTTAACCTCCAAGGGTTTACCTCCTAATACTTACTTGTACAGTTCTGCTCCTCATCGCTGTTGTCCAGGCAATCGTCGTCGCCATCGCAAACCCACGACTTGGGTATGCACCTCTGGTTGTTGCAGGTGAAGTCCCAGGAATTCGGACAGGGTTGCACGGGCGGTTCGGCACTGGGATCGGGAATACAGCTCACTTGATCCTCGGCCAGCCGTTCGCCATAAGGACACGAACAGCGAGCCTGCAGGCGACCAAAGGAAGGTGACGGCGAGGTGGTGACCTCACCGGAAGTTCCATTCTGACCGCCGATCGGAACGGCGAAGCAGATCTTCTGACAGCCACCGTTATTCCTGTGGCAGGGTTGCGTTTCCGCAATCCTCTGAACCTCGTGACTGTACACCTTGACGCCATAGAGTCGATTTGTTTGCGGTTCCCTGACCATCATCTCCTCCTGCTCTCCCGTGAGCTTGTGCAACCGGATGATGGCATCCAATCGCCAGTCCGTGATGTACATCCAATCGTTGTGAATGACAATCGAGAAGGGATGTCGCACCAGTCGGGAGTTCACTGTCTTGATGTCCGTGCCATCCAAGTTGGCATGCTGAACGTGATCGAGTAAGGCATCGCACCAGTACACTCGATCCTCCTTGAAGTCAATGGACAGACCGTTTGGCCAGCCGAGGGTTACATTCTTGAATACCAAGAGACCACTTCCATCTGTGTTTGCCCTCGTGATATTCGCAGGACGATCCCATTCGGAGAAGAAGATGAAACCGCGATTCGGATGGACCACAATGGCCCTGGGACGCTTGAGGTTCTTCAGCAGAGTTCTTCGGTGGGTCACATTCCTGGTGGAGAGGACATTCAAGGTTCCCTTGCGCGAATCGATGTAGTAGAGATTCTTGGAGGCCCAATCGACGGCCAAACCCTCAACACCTTCGTTCTGGGAGGCCAAGACGATCTCCCTGCCGGTTCCGTTTCGGTGCACCCTGTAGATCACATCCTGCAGGACGTCCGAGTAGTAGATGAACTCGTCGCGGGCATCAAAGTCCAATCCAACGAAACGAGCTCTCCTCGACACCACTGGCATAATGGCATCGCTGAATCCCTCGATCACCGGCTCCAAAACCTTGCCCTTGATGAACCTCTGCTGCGAGTACATGAGGAACTCGCTAACCGGCTTGCACAGCTTCAGATCCGTTTCCAGCTGGTAGCCCGTGGAGCAGGCACACCGGAATCCCAGTCCGGTGGGCGCTCCCTTCACCGCGGTCACGATGCACATGTGGTTGCAGCCACCGTTGTTGTTGCCACAGGGATTCGAGACCCTCGGCTGGCTGAGCGCATGCACAGCGATGATTCCTTTGGGCTCCCGAATGTCCTTGGCCTTGTAGGTCACCTGAATGGAGGTGGGTCCCTCGAACTTGTCCACCGACATGATGCCCTGCTTGGTGGCATCCGTCCAGTAGATTCGGTTCTCGAACAGCGCCAATCTCGAGGGACTCGGCACCTGTTGTCCCCGCAAAACCATCACGCGATGAGCGCCCTCGTAGTCCACGGATTCGATGTAGTCCAACAGAGAGTCGCACCAGAAGACCCGCTTGCCGATGATGTCCACGGTAACGCCGCTGGCCTTGTACGCCGCCTCCGAGACAATCGACCGGGCGTGGGTGCCATCCATGTGGGCCCTCAACACCTGGCCGCCATCCGCCACGAACATCAGTCCCGCCGTGGGATCCAGTGCCAGGTCAGCGGGCGAGGTGAGATTCGAGCCCAGCACCACGGCATGCCACTGGCCACTCAGCTCGAAGACATCGATCTTCTGGCCCACCAAGTCGGCCACGTATATCTTGTCGCCCACCCAATCGACGGCCAGAGCGACCGGAGCCCAGGTTCCGGGCAGCGTTTGATCGAACGGCGACACGGCCTTGTTCTGTGCATCCAGCGGCAGGGATTGCACCTTCCGCGTCTTGATATCGGACCAGTACAGGGTGTTCCTGGCATAGTGGAAGGTAACGCCCGCTGCCGCTGTTGCGTTGGCCAGAACCTTGGGCTCACTTCCGTGGGGCAGCATTCGCATGATGGCCCGTTCGTGGGCGAAGATCAGCTGCAGGTTGTTCGCGTCGGGGGCAATGCACTTGGAGTCGTTGATCAGCGTGTAGCCCTGGGCACACTGGCAGGTGTACGAGCCCAGGGTGTTGGTGCACAGCTGGTCGCAGTGACCCCACTCGGCGCACTCGTCGAGGTCAGCGCAGGTCCGGTTGTCGGGTGCCAGAGATTGACCCGGCTTGCAGTAGCAAACGCCGCCCGTCAGCGAGGGTCCGCACTTGAACTCGCAACTCAGTGCGGGACAAGAAGCAATCGCTGGAAATTAAAGAAAAACGTAGATAAGGTTTCTTTAAATATATAACTAAAATTAAGAAAAATATGGGAAGAACATATATGAATATATGGGGATGAACAATAAATTAGAATGAACAGGGATAATTGAAAATGAATTAGGAAAAACAAATGAGAATAAACAAAGACACAAATTAAATAAGGATAACCTAAAATACACCAGGATAAAGGATAAACAAGAAGGAACATGAATGAAACGAGAATGAATATGGTGAACACGAATGAACATTAAAAAAAAAACAAAACAACGAATGGGGATGCATTCTTGGAAGAAACGAGAATGAATATGGTGAACACGAATGAACATTAACAAAAAACAAAACACCGAATGGGGATGCATTCTTGGATAGTTAGCAGTTTGCCGAGAGGATTTCGGCAGAGTTGGATTTCAAAGACAGGGATCTCTTGAGTACTCACAGCAGTTGGTCTCCTCGTCGCTCCCGTCCTCGCAATCCCGCTTGCCGTCGCAGAGCTGCGACTTGAGGATGCACTTGGGGGTGCCGCTGGCTCCTCCGCGGGGACACAGGTGCTTGTTGTCCGGACAGGCGATGGCCGTGCAGTTGGCCTCGTCGCTCTTATCCGCACAGTCGTTGTAGCCGTCGCAGTGGAAGTTGTACGGGATGCACAGCGCGTTCGAGCAGCGGAACTGGGCGTGGTGGCAGGGCGGAAAATCTGAGGGAGAACCAAAAATTTATTAGTGAAATGTAAGAATTTCTATACAATAAATATAAATTTAAATGTCTATTAAGTATTAAGTGATAAATGTAACTCCTAAATGATATACTTTATTTTATTCTTAAATATGTATTTATTTTTATATAATTTTTTTGAGTTAATTATATTATATATTTATGGAGTGCTTACTGCATCCCTGTTCGTCGGAGTTGTCGCCACAGTCGTCGCGATGGTTGCACTTCAGAGCGGCATCGATGCACTTGTGTCCGCTGGCGCAGCGGAACTGATCCAGGCGGCAGGACACCCCGTTGCAGCCATCTTCATCCCGTCCAGTGCGGCAGTCCAAGTAGCCGTCGCATCGCTTCTCCTTTGGAACGCAAGGACCCGCGAGTCGGGTTCCCTCCGCTGGAGCGGCTCCATTGGGGGCATTGCAAAAGACGTCCGTGTGCTGGCACTTTCGGTAAGCTGGAAATTTGAATAAAGTACCAGAAAATATTAGTTAGTTGTTAAACTAAAGATAATACCACCATTGCTTATATCAGCAAATTTCTTTCCAATATAAACATTTCGCGTTAGACAAAGATTTCTATTAGTATAAGCGTCTCCTATTAAATTTTAATCATCAGAAACTGAAATTTTATTTGTTGAAAGCTGATTAAACAGAATTTAAATTTGTCTTAGCTCCGTGCATCGGTGAATTTATTCATGGAATCAAAATATTTGATTTCTGCAGGCAGTGGACCGCAGTTAAGCGAACAAAGCTCATATTCTATGCTGTTAATTAATCTCGAAGACGGCTCAATTTTAATTGCATATTCATTTGGTGCTTGTTTGGCCACTCGAACTGAATGGTGAATGTTGAATGGTGAATAATGGTGGGCATTGCATATTTAATTTATATATTTTTAGGGCTTCCGCCGCTTCTATTGTTGGGGAATTTCGGTAAGCAGCCCCCGAGATAATAATCTGTACATGACTGCACTCAATTAGGGCTCATTTCGGGCTTCGCCAGTGTGATTAATTGCATTTGCATTGAGCGCTAAGCTCCTTAGAACCATCCATAGACTCGATGATTTGGCCCAGTTGGGTTTCCCTCAAAGCCCGAGCCCGAACCAAAGCACGAACCATTGTCCAAGACAAAGGCCCTTTCTCGGTTCATCAGCCAGAGTGAGTGGTGTGTATGGAAGGGTTGAGAAAGGAGGGGGGGTTACGCCCACCCACAACCTTTTCCCTTACCCTCCCCTTAAAAATGGCAGGCCAAAACTATTTGTGCTGGCAAAGACATTAAATTTTGATGCCAGACATTCGGGAGAGAGCCGTGCTTTTGGGCGAAGCTCCTGGCTGGGCACGCATGGCGTATACATAATGCATGCCCGCTGTACCAATGTCGGGCGTGATTGTCTGTCCGCTCGACTCTTCCGTCCGTCCGTTTGTCCGGCCGTTCGTTTGTCCGTCCGTCCGTTTGTCTGTCCGTCCGTTTGTCTGTCCGTTTGTCCATCTCGCCCGGATTGTGCACTTGAGTTGTGTGTGTCGGCAGGCAGAAGTGCTATAAATTATCGAGTAGTTGGTTGCAGGACCCTCCCCCCAAAAGGCCACACAAAAAAAAGGGACGAGCAGCTGGGGTTTACATATTGAGACTAGGAGTACCTATTAATTCAGATACTAAATCAGACACTAAAGGTTTTTCATTTAAAGATTATCTAGTTCTAATTTATTTTACAAGGTTTATAATAATGTAATACTTATTCACCTGCATTTATTTACTTGATTGGATAACTTGTATCCACTTAGGGACTTTTCCAACCAACCCTTTCTCTCTTTTTTTACAGAGTATTAATCGGAAGCGAGGCGTGTGGGCCTGTCGAGGGCTCCGTTAACAAGAAAGAGGTAGCAGGGAAAGTCGTGCATTTGAATGACTAAATTAGAGCAACTGCTGGCGAATCGGGACTTTAAGAAGATGATATATGTGTCTCTGACAAGGACATATGTCTGCGGCCATTAGGGTGAACCATTGGCAGGCCACAAAAGTAAAGCAATATCTAGAAATGAAATGTTGTGGGAAAAGAAGTGCCTTAAAACCTCAAACAAAACCTCAAATAATTCTTAAGTATATAATTTTTATAGTAGTATTTAAAGTAAAGTAAGTATAGTATACATCTTAAAGTTCAAATCAACTGGAATAGTTATTAGTTAGTTTGAGCTGTAATTGTGTGTTTATGAGTGGATTTAATCCTGGCCAGCACGCCGTTGATCCATACTTGGTTTTCCCGTCTCTGGACATCGTAAACTCACTCGCCAACGCCAACGAGTATTTTATGCATGTCTCCCGCTCCTTGAGCGGCGTTCCCTGGCCAGGATTCTCCCCCCCTCCCCCTTTTACCCCCTTTCATCCCTCCGATTAAATCCCGGAACATTAGCGCGGAACTGGGGCCACGGGACCCCAACGGGAGCATCCGAGTGTGGCAGGGCAAACTTAATTAGTGCAAGTTAAACAAGCCAAGTTGTATAAATATTCCCCGACAGCGCAAAACTTTCTCCAAGCAAAACAATGGAATGCGTATCCTGCGCTGCGTCTGTGTAAGTGTCCCTGTCTGTGTGCCCTGAATGTCTGCGTATGTGTGTGTGTGTGCGTGAGTGTGAGTGTGAGTGCAGGTGAAAGCAGTGCGGGAAAAGAATTATATTAAATACACATATAACAGGTGGCTCAGGTGAATTAAGTTGAATTATTAAGTTATCCAATAATCACAATAAAATAAAGCACACAAATTGCATTCAAAGGAGGTGTATTAAAGCACTAATTAAAGCTTTCAATTCCAGTAGAACCTGAAACCTAATGCTGTGTAAATTACGTATACGCCTAATTGAACAGCATCCCTTTCTCATTATTAACCCCCCAACATAAATTATTTGTTTTTCCTTGTTATTATTTTGCTTTGTTAAACTTTTGTAAATTAATTTTTGTTGTGTAACTATCTATTTTGTTACTCCCTGCAGCTTTTTCTATTGACAAAGTGGAGCAGCGGAAGCGAAACTTTGTGCACCTCCGACTCTCGTGATCATAAAAATGTGTCACGCACTCGGGCGAACCCTCCATTTTCACCATTTCCACTGGCAAACCCACTATATAGAGCTCCTCCCCGACTTTCTGGCATTAACATGTTCCTGCTAATCCCGCCTTTGACCCCCTGCAATTTGTGGGCGTGGCGTGGCCAAAAGATTTACGCCAAACAATTTGTTACAAATTCGTTAGCTGTCGCGATTCTTTCTTTTTTTTTTTTTTTGCTTTGCTCCAGCGAACTTTTGCATTAAAATGGAAATCATAATGACAAATGAGGGGCGTGGCTGGTTGTGCGATTTAGCAGATGCATTTTCGTTGAACAGATCTGATTTAAAACATTTCATCGCCATATATTTCCCTTCTCGTTTCACGTAATTTCTCAGAGCATTTTTTTTTATTTAGACTCCCCTCTTAACTCAATTTTGCACTGCACTTCCGCTTGGCTGCAAAACTTTTGGCCCTAAACTTTAACCGAAAAGCAAGGGGTTTTCCAGCATTGTTGTTGGCACTTTATAAGCAACAACAACAACAGCAGCAGCAACAACAACAACCCATCCAGCACTTCTCTCACTCTGTTTTTTTAACCAAACACTTTCTAATTGGGTTCCCTGGTTCTTTCGTTCGCTGTTTTCTCAGCATTAACTTTTATTGCAAGCCAAGACTTTTATGCGTGTAAAAGGGGAAGGGGGCGGAGAAAGGGGGGAGGGCGGGCACTGAAGGGGTGTGTAATTACGCGCGACAAGTGCCACGCCCCCGTCCCCGGACCACCGCCCCAAAGTCCCGTCACGTTTAGCTGCAGTCAAATAAACGTCAGCTGCAATCGTCGCCACTCAGAGAAAGTCGGAGAAAGAGGGGGCGAAAGGCTCGGGAGAAAGGGGGCGGAGGTGGAGAAAGGGCGGAGGAGGATGACAGTTTATGAGACAGTCGCCAGTGCTGTGAACTTGGCTTTTCCACCGCCAAAAATTTGATAGCTTCGAGGTTAGTTTGGGGACACTTAAAAAATGCAAGAAATGTATGCATAATAAGTTGTCTCTTGAAAATTGGTTACATCTCATCAATAACCATTTATGGTTTTTTTTTAGTAAGACACTTTATTCCCTACAATACATTATTTTAAACACAAAACTTATGCTAAAGTCAATAAACTAAATTTTCAAAAACATATTTGCAGAAAAGTGATCAGATTTCAGCACTTCTCATTTCTTAACTTTCCCAATTTTTATCCGATTTGCAAATGGCATACCTCTCTGAATTTGTAATAAAAAAATATTTACCAAGCTGCCCGATTTAGAAGTGGCATACCTTTATGAATTTCTTATTAAAAAAATCCAACAAGCTGCAAAATAAATTAAATTAAATGAAAAATATTTTTGAGTTTCTCAAACAAATAATTAAGATTTTTTTATTAAGACTTTCGCCCAATCTGATTTGGCTTTCTTTCGGCTTATTGGCAGTTGGCAGTTGGCCGTTGGCAACACTGACAGTTAAATGAAACGGAGGTGGCTATAACACTTAAGTTCTGCGGACAGGTGATGAAGGGGGTCTGTTTTTGGGAAAAGGGGCGGGGCACTGAGGAGGGGGCTTCTGGTAATGACGGTTTAAGCTCTTCGCTCTCTTTGGTTTTACGCACTTTTTTACGCAGCAATATCTGCCTCATTAGATGCTGCCAGCAATTAAAAGCGAAACGCGAAATGCGAAATGTCCGCCTGGAAAGTTCCGGGCAAAGTAAAATATCCGTAACCCCCGCTTCTTGGCCGTAAACAAGTAAAAGTGCTTCAGCCTCTATTTATGCTTCAGTTTCAGCTTGTTGACTTGCGACCGCAGCGCTTCGCAAAGAGGAAGCGACGATAATCGGCCGGAAGTGGGCGAAAGTGGGCGGGCCGGATCGGAGCGGGTCGGTAGACAAGGTAACTTCCAACTGTCTTCCGCAGCAGCAGATGTCTGCTGTTTGTTCTCACAGTTATTAATAGTTGCCATGGAGGTGTACCCAAGTCCTAAAGTATAATAACACCCACGGAAAACAACTGCAGAATGTGAGAGATTCTCCGCCCAGTTGATGGCTTTATACTTTTGGTTCCCAATATTTGCAAAGCAAAATGGTAGAAACTGGAAACATTTGAAAGGATTTTAGAGAACTTAACCACAAGCATTGAGAGGAATCATTCTTTCACTAAAATGAAAAATTAAGGAGCAGTTCTTTTGGAATTTTCCATCAAAATATGTTGTAAAGCATTTAACTTTGGAATTGGATACAAATTATCGAACTTGTGGGTTGAAAAGTTCAGAATTCGATGCCTTTTGTTGCAATAATTAGTGTTCTTAAATACTTTAAGAAATTGCTTAGGCATTTAGCTTGCAAGTTTTTATGAGCTGAAAATGGTAATAGCACTTGTCATGCATGCAAATTATCGGCTTAGCAGCGATGATGATTTGATGATTAAATGCCTATAAATCGAATTCGCAGAGCAACAATATGTTTTGCATTGGAGCTCCGTGCGAATCCCTTGCTTTTAATTGCACACATTTTGGGGAAATGTGTGTAATTTTCATTGCCATGACTACCTGACTAACCGGTTATCTGGCATCCCGATATCCTGGCTGTGTGTGGACTATCTACGTGGCATAGCCCTCCATCTTTCCACATCCGACTGCCACAACCTCATCCCAATCCACACCCTCTTCCACTTCCACATCCACATCCACATCCACATTCATCTCCCTGCTCGCACAACACCTGAAGTAATTAAATAGTTGAAATAAGCCCGCTCTAATATTTATATGCCATAAATTAAACAAACAAAGGTGAGCGAAGACAAACAAACACAGATACGCACACTCACACTCCTGCAGTGTTCAGGGGGTTAAGGGTGAAGCCCATGGGCGGGGGAGGAAAAGGGGAAAGAGGAAAGGGAAAAAGGGGGGCCACTGTCACCCCGACTGAAGAAGAAGACGACGCGTTGACACGTACGCAAAATAAATTTGTTAAGAACGCAATAAGAGTGAACATTTTGTCGCCATTTAAGCGCGATAAATTATTGTGCAACAAAGTGCGACAGAGAGAAAGAGAGAGCTAAAGAGAGAGGGAGAGGGAAAGAGGGCGTGCAGAAAGAGATAGCGATAGCGCGGGTGAAGGAGAGGCAGTGTTCTCGTTTTACGGCAACGTCTTATTAAATTAAAATGAAATTTAAACTTGATCTTATGCCGGCAAAACTTTCTGCGCCCAAAAGGAGTGACTATCTACCCGAACTCTTCCTCGATTTTTGGCATCAGAGTTGTTGGGCAACGTTTGTAAAGTAGCTGAAAATAGTTTAACGAAGGAAAATGCTGGCAGAACGGTACTTAAGATGGCTTAAACATGGCTAAGAGTAATCAACATTTTTGGTTATTCATTTGGCAGTTGAAATATTATATACTTGTTTTGGAAACTGCATTTTTTGTTTTACCTTTCTTTTTGTATTGCTTTACTCAAGTAAAATATACTTTTAAATATTTAGAAATATCACTTTACTTTATTTATTACTTAATATCCTTTGGCTCTAAATAGAAACCAATTTAAAGTTATAGCCACGCAAGCAGCTCTTTTGCAAGCGGACAAATTGGCCTTCTAGCTTGGCTTAGTTGTGCGAGCGGGACGGAATGCGGCGGTGCGAAAGGGACGGCGAACGCAGGACAAAGTTGCGGGGCGTTTGTCTAGCCATTTTCCACATTTTCCTCCGCTTTCCACCGACTCGCTGCGAGTCGTCAAAGCTGCCAGCCGAACTTGCACAAAAGCACGCCGACTTGCGGAAAAGCGGGGAAAGCGAGGAAAAGGCGAGGAAAATGCGAGGAAAGGCGGGAGGAGCGGGAAAAGCGGAGCGGGACACTTGGAAATTGGTCGACTCAAAGATATTTAAATATTTGTTTGCCTGTCGGTGTGCAGCTGTTTGTGTGTGTGTCTGCTGTAAATGTGTGTGTGTGTGTGTGTTTGTGCGGGTGCATAAATCTTAAATAACAAGCAATAAATGCTCTACAAGTCTGGGGTACTTTTTGGCGATTTGCATGGACATTCAGCTGCCGTCTCGTTTTGGCCACTATATTTTCACCCACCCCCCCTTAACCCGTTTTTCCATTTTCCCCCCGCTTTGCGAAGAGAACTCCCTTTTCTTCTTTCCCGGATTCGCACTCGGCAAACTTTTAATCAAAATGTGCGGCTCACAGTCTGCTGGCTGAATGCACTTGAACTTTATGCCAAAGGAAGGAAAAGTCTGAGAAAGAGAGAAAGAGAGAAAGAGAGGGCCATAAGGCTTTCCACCATACAAAGTCCAACCGAGCGAGAGCTGTTGAAAATGCATTAAATTCTTTGCTCAACGAGCAGACAACAGACTTTTCACTTGAGGTGCTGGAAAAGCAAGGAAAAGTGATGGAATCGTAAGAGTGCTGGCGGGAAAATGGGTTACCAAACGCGGGGGGATTGGAAGGGGGTTGGAAAATGGCACAGAAAGTGGGCGGTCTGCCGGCGGATTATTAAAGTCATCAGCGATAAATATTACCCAAAGTGCCAAAGGGAAAAACTAAAAGGTGGCCAGGGGAAAGTAAAAAAGGTGCAAGAAAAATAAAAGAAAAGTGAAAGAAAAATTCGAAAAATTAGCGTTTAACGGTAAGAAGTTAAATTTTAAGTAAAAATTGTTAACTTTCTAACAGACTTTGCCTCACTTACATATAGGTAGATTATATATTTTTGCAACTTTTTTCCCCGCACACACACTTTAACTTCTACTCCCGATGGACTTTTATTTTAAACACTTTTCATCGCTTTTCCCAACTCGACTCAACTAAACTGAACTTCATTTGCGATTCCATCCATGAACCTCTCAACGGAAACAACTTCTGCCGGCCATCATCAATTCCACTAGCAAAGGCTAAAGCCAAAGCTAAAGCTAAAGGGTTAACCTTTTGGCCAAAACCCCTGGCCAAGTCAAAGATTTATGGCCCCACATCAAATTGATCCATTTCAGTTCGCCTTGAGTTTTCCTCGCTAATTTGCGGCCTTTACCTTGGGGATTTCCCAGATGCTTTTCCCCTTCCCTTTTTTATATATATGTAGGTATACATATACAAGATATATAGGTAGATATCGAACGGATGTGCAAGTTGATGTCCGTAAATATATTTTGTATGTACTGGCACGCTTGTGTAATTTAGTTGGGAAAACAAGAACTGCGGTCCTTCGTTAACATCTCTCTGTGTTGAAATTTGCATAAATAAAATTGGCATAATAAAATGTAAACATTTTGCAAAGCAAATTGTTACAGCACACAGCCCACTCGAAAGGATTCGTTTTTGAGGGACTTGCGGGATAAGGACGAGCTAGTCAATATTTGTCGAGTCAACAAATTTACTTTGAAAGCGAGAAAAGACACGAAATGCTTCAGATTGAATCGGGTTTGCTAAGGGATATATATTTATATTGTATATAGTGTTTATAGGGAGTACTCACTGCACTGCGCCTCATCGGACTTATCCTCGCAATCCTCGATCATATCGCATCGATAATGAGGAGGGATGCAATAGGTCTTGTTGAACACATACTGCCCGCAATTCAGTTGCGGCGTTTCGCATTCCGGTGGGGCTGAAAATTCAATTTTAGAATCATTATTACAAAATGCATAAAATATTTCATTGAAACTATGTTAGGTTTTTAATTATGAGAAGGAATCTTTTATTTTGTGTACCAAGTACTGACAAAAAAAAAGAAAACATGAACGCTCTTTCATTGCACATTCTCGACATTAATCAGATCTTCGACGAGCACCCGTTCAAATTAATTAATTTGTGAAATTCCCGTGGATAATGGCTCCACTGGAATTCGATTAAACCATTGAATGCGGCGAATGGCCAACGCGTATTTCCTTGGCTTTCTCGGCTCGACCCACTCAATTACTGTCTATAATTTCATATTTTAATTACGCTCTTCCCCCGAAATTTTCCACCACTCGGCGGTGGCGCGTGGAAATGGAAAAGTGCCTTTTGGTGGGTTGGTTTGGGTGGTTGGATGGTTGGGTGGTTGGGTTTTCCTACTGGATTTTTACTACTGGTACTTACGGCACGATTGCATCTCGTCCTCGCCGTCGTCGCAGTCCTTCTGGTAATTGCAGACCCAGTGGTGCGAGATGCACTTGCCGTTGTTGCAGCGAAACGAGTCCGTCGGACACTCCGTGTTGATGCCACCGGCGCTGAGGCCACCGCCTGTGCTGCTGGCCAAGCTGCCACCTGGAAAATCGAGCAAAATCGGTGGGAATCAGTGTACTGAGAACAGAGGACAGTGGACTGGGGACAGAGGGCTTCTTACATCGAACTAATTGGCATGTGACTGCCGCTTTGTCATCCGACCTTTCCGCAAGTCGGTCCGAAACTTTGGTAATAACCATTGCAGTTTTCAGTAAACAAGTTGCCAAATGGCCACTACACTTAGAACTTAAGGTGGTTGGATAATCAGGATTCAATTTAAGAAAAGGAAACTAAGTAAAGTGGTAAGAAAACAAGCTAACAACTTCAAGAAAATGTTGTTTCATTAAATAAACTATTAAACATTACTTATATAGAAAGTTGGTTACTATAAAAATGTATATAAATAACTATATTTAATCTTAAAATATTCTTAGCTGTTTTTGTTGCTTTTATGTACTCATATTACATAGTGTTTTAAGTTTGTTAGGAACTACATTGCATTTTTGACAGCTTTACTCCTTTTTTGGAAGCCATGATTTTCAGAATGGTAAAGCACATGTTATACTTAAGCTCCCCTCTGTTTTTTTTATTTATTCAAATTACAAATGCTTTGCCGCTAATTAAGAAGCTAAGTTAGCGCTTTTTTGAGTGTGCAGAAAGGAGCTCGGCAAAGGGAAGTCTGACTGCAGACAACAAAAGACTGTCATAAAATGGCAGCTGCAGGGATGCGCCTCAACTTTTGTGGCTGCCAAAGCCGCCACGGCTAATGGCCTTGTCACACACACTGGCACACAATTGCGCACACACACACACATACATGGGGGAAAAGGGAAAAGTGCAGGAAAAACTGCAACAGCAGAGGCCAAGGAAAAAGGAAGAAGGGAAAGCAGGGAAGTTAGAACGCGACCGGAAATGCTTAGCTGGGATTTCTTCTCGACAGGGAAAATGGAAGGAAAAACGCTGCAGCCAGCAGGGAAAATGCCCCACAAGCTCGAAATTCGGCCAGAAACGAGAGAGAGAGGGGAAGGGGGAAAGGGGAAAGGGGAACTGGAGAGTTCGGGGGGTCAGGGGTCGACTGTTCAGTTTTTGGGGCCAGGGCGCTGACAATGTCATTTGTTTCCGGCTACGTGCACTCTGCACGTGCCCAACTTCTTGCGGCCAAAAGAGAGAGAAAGCTTGCAGCAAAAGGTGGAGAAAGGCATCCGGAGAAGCATTCCGTGCTCCCTTTTCCCCTTCTTGCATTTTTCGCAGTTTTTCCCCGGGTGCACCTGCTACAGCTGCAACATCGAATGCCGCATCTTCGATGGCAGTTGAAACCGAACTTCAATTAAGCCCGATTCAAACTGAAGTTAACGAAATTGGCACAAGCCAATTCCAGGAATTGAAACTGAATTGAAAGCTGAATGGGAGTGCAACAAAGAAGCTGTCAAGAAAAACAAAGAAGGGAAACCCAAGCACAAAATGCTTTCCAGTTAATAGGTAATCCAAAATAATTGTGAACAACAAATGTAATTTTGGAGAGAACAACTTTGTTCCTTTTTACAAAGGTAAGGCACAAAATCAACTTATTGCTAATATACTTTAACAATTAAATTAATAAATAAATCGCAAATAAAAATATGAGCTTCTGCAATTTAAATTTTCTTGTGAAACATCACCTTTTTTCAACGCTCAACTTTCTCGTGAAATATTTTGCAATGAATGCACCATAAACAGGTTGAACACAACCAGCCACTTTAACCACTTTTAAAGTAGTGTGTGTGTGTGTGTGTGTTGGCCTTTGCTAACACAAACATGCACTTACACACACACACATAAGCCATACCTTTTGCACCCAGCCAAACCACCGCCCACCTTTGAAATAACCTCGAAAACTCCATGTCTAATTATGCATCTAATTAGTGAGTGCATTCTCCGTTTGGCAATTCATGCCGAAATTATTTTTGCCGCTTCCGTGCCATAATAAGAGGCAAACCGCAGACGACAACCAGCTAAGCCCCCTTCCACCCACTTTTGCCCCTCTTCTCTCCCCCTTTCTGCACCACCACCCCCTTTTCGCCCCTTTTCGCCACCCCTCTCGTCGTGGAATTGAAAGCGATTTCAAGTACGCATGCCTCTCTCGCCGCAGAATGAAAACGAAGTCATGTTTTATCACAGCGTATAATTCACATTCGCATTTCCAGGGGGTTCCCCATTTAATTGTGCGAGGTGAAAGCATTCATTGCAATATGTGGCTCAAAATAATAATAATAATTGGGGAAGTTGGCAAGAACCAGCCAATGTGGAGCAAAACTAGGGGCGAATTATTTTGAATTTAATGAAAATAATTGTGTATTCTAATTATATATCTAAAAGAGAGAACTTTAATCTCCTGCTTTGCCTAACAACATTTTTCTTTAATATTTTCATTTTAATGTGTTCTTCTTTTGGCAGTAATTTAACCCACTGTTCAAGAATATTGCCCGCATCTGTTTTGGCAACTTTTCTTACTTCGTTTGCTTGCCACTTTGTTGCAGAAAAAGCCTCTTGGAATAGAAATAGTTTTTGGCTGGCGGCGAAACTATTTCGGTGACCAAGTTTGCGAAAAAACGAGTACCCAACTGCCTTTGATGTGCCCGCACAAAAGTTCGCCCCCAGAATGGGGATAATGACTAAAGAAGGGGAGGGGAGGGGAGGAGGGGATGTTCCTTATCCCCCCTGGTATTATCCCCGCTGATCCGAACCCAAATCCAACTCGAACTCGGCAAATTCCTGGCCTCCCATCAACCGCGACAACATCAAAATGCACGTTATTAAGTATTATGTTGCTGTTGCTGCTTCTATTTGTTTTTATTGTTATGGGCCATGTTATGGCCATGTCCTCATCCTCATCCTCTGCCTCTGCCTCTGCCTCTGCCTCATCCTCATCCTGCCCCTCGATCTCCGTGCTTGCCACTTGCCATTTTGCTGGCAACAGCATCAACGGTTTTAAGAGCTTACAAAATATTTTGTAATTTTGTCACGTCTCAACTTTGGCGACGTCACTTAAAATTACATTTAACAAAAAAAGCTGGCAAAAAATACCCAAACAAAAGGGACGACGGCCCAGGAAATAATGTTTGTCTGCGATTTTCCCTTGCAGTTACTTTTGGAGGGGGTAAATCAAAAATAGATGAACGCTTGGCTGGCTGGACGAATAGATGGATGGCTGGGGCATGCCCCATTCCCCATTCCCCCACGCTGCACACAACAAACAAAGTAGACAATGGGAAATACACTTCATGGCAGGTCAAAAAAATGAGATGGAATATAAACCACCAAACATATGTTAAAGTAAAATGTATTATATATTTTACCCAAACTTTAAGTCGGTTTGAAAACTAAATGGCAATGCAAACTAAATAAATATTTGGGAACAAAACGAACAATAAACAAATAAACGCCTTTCGATCAAACGTATACAAATTTAAAATCTCCAGAAGGTTTATGGATTTGAAAAAGTGTAATTACAAAAATACACAGCTTTATTGGCAAGAGTGTTTGCCTGAGAAGATTGAGAGGCTTGTTCACATGAATAGTGCACTCGGCTTAGAGTAGTTGCAAGCGGATTTGTAATCTTCTCAAGCTCAGACAGGTGAAAACAATTGTGATGGCCAATGGAAACTGTGGATTTTCAGCCACTCAATTGTTTTAGGGGCCCTTTTTCGGTTTTTGATTTTCGACTTAATGTGCTCAGTCCAGCTTAGCCTCAAAAAATAAAGTTAAAAAGTGAATGGATTTCCTTCTTTCATTTTGCAAAACTTGTCTTTCTGCTGTTCGCAGAAACATGCATAAATCAATGTTTAGCTTTTGACAGAACAAAAAAGATTTGGGTCAAATCAAAATGGAAATAACTATGTCTGTTCTAAGTATGTCATGAATAAATGGCTTACTAGATTTCCACACTCAGTTTCCCCATGAAAGCAGTGATTCTGCAGAGAGGAAAATTGATTGTGATTTTCATGGTTCTATTCAAATATTTTCAAAGTAAATATGTGAATATTTTATGGACAGGCTACACTTGGCAGCTATGGAAAATATCTGAAATAATTCTTATAAAAATGCAGTTATGGATTTATTTTTCCATGTGCATAAATGCCCATGACCATGGCTTTAGTGGGTTAAAAATGTAGATATTCAGGGGGCTGGGATTTCGAGACTGATGCTACCAAAAAGTGCAAGCCGCATTCGGGTGGACTATTTCCCCAGCCCCCTTTTCAGCCCTTTTTACGTCTGTCTCTGCCCTTGCGTTTCGTACATTTATAACCATGAATTTCCATTACTCACTTAAAGAGGGGAAAATCGGGGGGCGTGGCCGCAAATATGGCAGTCAGAGAAACGCGTTATGGGAACTGCGGAGCAGAGCTTTCCGACTTCCCCGAAGATTCATCAATGAATTTATCAGTTTTTATAGGCAATTTATTATTTATTGATGGCTGTGCCATTGGCTAAAAGAGAGCCCTTGGGAAAAGAGAGGAGGGGGGGGAGGGGAGGGGGAGGGGGGTGATATATCCATCTCACAGCCGCATATAGCATACATTCGAGGGCCAGACAGACAATAACTGGCAACAGCTTTTCAAACTCCAAACGATTCTTTCTCGCTCGTTCTGCGCCACTTTTTTTTTTTTTTTTGGGAGGTGGGAGCTCTTTGAATAATGGCGGGGCATGCAATGGTTTGGGGCAGCTTGGTCATGTGGAGAGTGCATTTGGCAGTCATAACGGAAGCGGAGCCGAAAAAAGCAGACGAAGCCAAAGAGAATAAAATAATGGCTGGCGGATAAGTGGCAGACGGCCTTTGAGATGCTCTAATCTTTATTAATGATTTAACGTATTCAGTTTACAAATATAAAATATTATATTGTCTTTTTAACATTGATATTTTAGTGGGAGTAGATATTAAGAAATAAAATAGTGCTTAAAAATACTAATACAATTTTTTAAATATTTAGCTCACTTTAATAATTTTTAGAATAAAATAAGCTAAATTAGGTAAATAATCCAATATGAGATAAAGGTGTTTAAAA